GCCTGAGACGGTGGTTGCTTCTCAACATTCCCCACACTGGCAGTCCTGGAGCCGGGCTTCTCTTCCATGGCCAAGACCTCAAGTTCACGTGAGCCTTCCTAAAGACAGGGCGGCCGAGACCGCTCCCTCTCCCTGCAGCTGGTTTGCAAAAGGTGTTCTCCCAGCAGCCTGTGGCGTGGACTGGTGGAAGTGGCGTTTCAGAACAGCCTGGGCCTTGTTGTCAGGAGGCTGCGTGGTGACTCGGGCGGCCTGTGCCTGCATTCCCCTCCCTGGCTCTTTGAGCCAACTCCAGTTCTGAGACTGCTTTTGATGTTTTGCTCTCCTCGCTCATCTCCACTTACCTTTAAGTCTTCCTGTCGTGTATTTGTCATTCAATTAAAGATACTTTCCTGTCCATGTTTCCTTTTGTGCAGGAGCTGGGGAAGCACCCACACTGAGCCCAATTTTACCCATCTGACCTTTGAGTTACTTAGGTGTGCTACTTAGTTTCCAAACACAGCTTTTTCTCCCCAGATTTCACCTTGATTCCACTTGTTCAGGGAACACTCTACAGGACTCCTCCCCTGACATCCGCAGTCTGGATTGATGGTCTGGCGAAGGCTGACTTCAGTGCTGCCCACTGGAGAGGAGGGCTGAGTGGGCACACCTGAGCTCGCACCTGCACTCGCACCTGCGCTCCCTCGCCCACCTATTTGACACCTTCGCAGATTTTCACATGCAGTTTCTAGACATTCGTCAGATATTGAAACTGAAGTCCTGACATTGTTCTCTCCAGGGCAGTGAAAGCTTTTAAAACAATTTACCTCTCTTCTTATACATTTTAAGGGTTTTCCGCTACTTTTTTTACATTTCAATGAGTCGATTTTATAAAGACCCCTTGGATTCATCCACACTTCTCTTCTGTTCGTTCAGCCATTCCTTCTTGTTCCAAGAATCCGTTCTGGGCACATATTCCTGCTTCAAAGAGAATTCCCCAGAAGGTCCTTTATAGGCAGTATCTTCGGCAAGGGATACCTCAATTTCTTTTGTTCTTTCTTTTTAGAACTCAAGCACTTAACCACCGAGTCACATCCCAAATCCTTTTTGTTATTATTACTTTGGGACAGGGTCTTACTAAGTTGTTTAGGACCTTGCCAAGTTGCTGAGGTTGGCCTTGAACTTGTGATCCTCCTGCCTCAGCTTCCTGAGTCACTGGGATTATAGATGTGTGTCATCACATGAGGCTCAATTTTTTATTTTTAAAAAAAGTCATCGACTTCATTTTTTGTAACTTTGAGATATAATTTCATATACCAAAAGCATTCACCTTGTAAAAGTGAACAGGGTCATTCACAGGGTCGTGTGAACATCACTGCTATCTACTTCCAGGATGTTCTCACCACCCAAAGATGACAGCCGACACCCCCCTAGGCCCCGCAGCACTAGTCTGCTGCCTGGCGTTCCATGCAAGTGCAGTCACAGGGTGGCCTTCTGCACCCTCTTCTCGGCCCCGTGCGGCCCTCTGCGACTTCACCCCAGCTCCGTGTGTGTCAGTGCTGCCTCCTTCACTGTCAGACAACACTCCGCATTGTTTCTCCAGCACCTGCCAGACGCCTGGGCCCTCCCCACCTCTTGGCCGTCATGCCTAACGCTGCTGTGCGCACTCATACAGGTGTGTGGGACAGGCATTTCAGTCCCCTGTGTTCTCGTCAGCCTTTCCCTGCTGTGGCCAAAAGACATGACAAGAACAACTCAGAGGAGGAGAAGCTTGTCTGGGCTCATGGTTTCAGAGGAGCCCACCATGGTCGGCCGCCCTATTGCTCTGGGCCCGAGGTGAGGCCGAACATCACAGTGGAGGAGCGTGTAGAGGAAACCCCGGTCCACAGCAGCACGAGGCAGAGCTCTGACCCTCCAGGAGCCAAAGATAAACCCCAAAGGCACCCCCCCACCCCCCGCCTGCCTACAGTTACCACCCAGTTCATCCATTCAAGTGGATTAATTCACTGACCGGGGCACAGCTCTGCTAATCCAATCATTTCACCTCGAATATTCTTTCTTTGTCTTACACATGAGCATTTGGGGGATCACCCGTTATGTAAACCATAGTATTCCACCACGGTCCTCAAAAGCTCATGCCCATCACACAATGCAAAATACAATTATTCCACTTCCAAGACCCCCCAGTCTGACAGTCCCAGCATTGCCAAAATCTATCTCCAAAATCTCATGAGACTCAAGGCCAACTCATGGATGTTCTCCTCTGTTAAAATCAAAACCAGCTACAGGTATCCATATAATGGCACAGAGGAGACATTTCTATTCCACAAGGGAGAAGGAGGGGCCCAGAGAAAAGGGGTAAGACCAAAGCAAGACTGAAATCCAGCTGGGCCAACAAATCCCGTAGCTCCACGTCCAACACCTGGAGATCATGGCATCAGGAGGATCTCTCCACAGGGCTTGTGTAGCTCTATCCCGTGATCTTGCTGGTTGCAGCCCACATGACCTCTCCTGTGGCCGATCTGTCTCACTCCTGCAGCTTTCCACAGCAGGGGTCCCTCATTACTGGCATCTCTTAGTCTCAGGGGTCTCCACGGCAGCTTCAAGTTCCTTCTCCCATCTTCAGGCACTGCCCTCTCAGGGGCTGCCTGCAGGGACTCCAACACTGCTACCTTGTCCCTGGCCTCTTTGGTCTTCCTGTTGAAATCTCAGTGGAAGCCCCGTACCCGCTAAATCCAGCATTCTGCAATCCTGCAGAACCAGCACCATGTGGCTGCCACCGAGGTCTCCCACCATCTCAAGCAGTAGCCAAGCCTCCTGGGACATGGCCACAGCAGCATGAGTGCCCGGACAGCTGAGTGTGGTGAAACAGCTTCCTAGGCCACTGTGTAGGTATGCTGCCCCAGCGGGTTCTTCTCAAAACAATTTGTACACCTGAGCCTGAGATGGATGGGGTCTTGCCAGTTTGTGAGATGCCTCAAGTCACCTTCCCTATGATGTCTGTGTGAAGTACTTAGCATCTCTTTAGTGGTTGTAATCTCTTCAACAACACCACCTTCTTTGGCCCTCGTTTTACACACATATTTATGGCCAAACTTCAAGTTTCAACTCTTTCTGCTCCCAATTATCACAGTACACTTGCTAAAAGCCACCAGCAATACCCATGCCACCCTCTGAATGCTGTGCTGCCTTGAAATTTCTCCTACCAAATTAATTAGTCCATTAACTTTGAATTCAGTTTCATATCAAGTCTCAGGACATGAGCAAAACGTAGACAACTTTTTGGCAGAATGTAACATGAATGGCATCCAGTCCAGTTTCCCAGAGTCGTCTTTCTCCTCTGAGATCTCAGTGGAGCTCAGTCTTCACTGCCCACAGTCTTGTGGGCATTCTGGTCTCCTGAGCAACCTCCAGAGTCACCCACTAAGCTCTAAGGCCTCTCCAGCCTGCACCTCCGGACTTCTCCACGTTTCTTCCACAAACCAGTTCAAAATGGTCAGGTTAGTCATGGCAATAAACCCATTTCTCGGTTATCAATTTCTGTTTTAGTCTGCTTTTCATTGCTGTGACCAAAAGATGTGACAAGAACAACTTAGAAAAGGAGAAGTTTATTTTGGTTCGTGGTTTCAGACAGGCAGTCCATGACTGGCTGGCTCCATGACTCTGGGCCAGAGGTGAGACAGAACTTTCCTGGTGGAAGAGCGTGGCAGAGGAAACTTACCAGGTCACGACAGCCAGGAGGAGAGAGAGGGCAGAGGCAAGCAGGTGCACGTGCCTCACTCACCAGGGACAGAGGTGAACCCCAAAGACATGGCCCCAGTGGCCAACTTCCTCCCATCACACCCTACCTGCCTCCAGTTACCACCCAGTTAATTCACTCAGGTGGATTAACCCAGTGACGATGAGCTTACGGTTCCAAAAACTGATCATTTCGCCTGTGAACCTTCTTACATCAGCTCACCCATGAGCTTTTGGGGAATACTACTTATCCAAATCATATCACCTCAGGGGTCTCCACAGCACCTCAGGAGGTCATCTTGAAGGAACTGCTGGGTCACTCGTAGCATTTCTGAACAATAGTTTGCTAAAGACCCAGCTCTGTGCTGAGAGCTGTTTCTCAGACCCTGGCTTCCTCTCATTCACGGATTGCTGCCCTCTGCTCTCTGGTCTGCTCTCTCTCTGGTCTTCAGTGTCCTCTCAGCAGGGGTTCATTCTGGTTCCTACAACCTGGTATATTTTCTGGATTTCAATACCATCTTCCTTCTGTTCTTCATTCTCCCTGGGATCCACCTAGACTGCATGGATTCTCTCCCCTGAAGACTCTGCCTTGGATTCTTCTCCATCCCAAATCTTGGAGCATGGCCTCCCTGAGGTCGGAGCTGGGAACCTCGATTTCTCTCCTCCCAGGCCCAGCTCCCACAGGTAGACACGGACTATACTAAGTTGCCCTGGCCTTCGCCCCTAGGTCAGGTGCCCTGGTGGGCAGGACCCTGCCCAGGAGCCCTGAGAGGGTGGAGTGGGCAGAGTTGCAATAGTTTTAGAAGGCAACCTTGAACTCTTCCCAGGAGGAGGACTGGGCACCGTGCTCTGAGTCTGATCGACTGTTGAACAGTGTGGGCAGCAGCAGGTCAGGTTCTGCTGGCCACCTGTAATTCAAATCACCCCTTGCATTTCGATTTGAAACTATTTTTTTCTGCCTTTCAAAAACCGCAGATGTTGAGGCAAGCCCTGTGGGAAAGTCTTTCTCCAAGGACACCTGGGCCACACTTCCCGAGCTGGTGCCTTCCTGAAAGAACAAGACGTCTGGGCTGAGGTACAATTCAGTTGCTTCTGAGGCTCCCCCATTAACTGAAGTAGCCTCCCAACTGTTCCCAGGAATGCCCCAAATGCCTGCCACCACTGTGGGAGCCTGGGCAGTGACTGCCAGAGTAGTGTGGGCCTGGGGACAGCATCTGGCGAGGACCCCACCCCAGAAATGGGCACCCTCAGGTGAACCATCTCTTAAGGTGAAATAGCATTGAAGCTGCCTTGGTCATAAATACAATTTATTTCATTAAAAATGCATAATTACAGTGTGTGGGAGAGCATCCCCCTAGAAAAGTAGGTAAGCAATCTTTCCATCAAAACCGCTAGCCGTCTCTTGCAAACACGTCTCCATGGCGCTGAAAAGAGCACACAGCAAAAGCCTTCTGTTACGCCACTGTTTTTCTTTTTTTTTTTTTTCCGATTTTCTTTTTTGTTATAAACACCATAGCAAATTAAAAAAAGCTGTTTAAACAAAACGTCGTCATTCTTGACTTTCCAAGTGTGCTCAACGTGTTCGGTGCTGTGCTCCCCTTCCGGACCCAGCAGCATGACTCAAACCAGGGCCCTCTTGGCAGGGACAGCCAGGGCACCCTGTGCAGGAGGAGGCTTTTGGATGCGCCACAGAGAATCCGCACAGTCGCTTCCAGGTCAGAGTGAGAACAGGGCACGTGGAGACCAAGGCCGTCGGCTGAGCCAGGCCAGTGCAGTCCTGCTGTGATGGTCCCTCCTGCCTCACTGTATCTGGATCGCTCCATGTTCAAGCTGCATTTCAGGCTGCAGGGTGGGCTGCAGGGTCTCGGCCGTCTGCAAGAAGAACAAAGGAGGACTTTCCTAGAAAAATGTCCAGCAGCACAGGTTCCAGCAGCTCCCTTGTCAAAAAGCAGCTGAGGACCTTCACACACAGCGTGGAGCACACTGAGGCAGAGCTCAAAGAGTTCCCGCATCGCCCTCATCCCAACTTGAGTGAACACCCAGGACACATCAGCACTTGGCAGCAACAGTGACAGACCCGGCCCATCCCCCCTCTCCTGCACACGCCCTCGGGACACGGTGGCTACAGCCGATTCCCCATCCGCTTGTCCTGGGTGTACTGGGGAATAAATAGGATTAATTAATGTACGTACTTAGCCAGACACATTTACCTAGAGCCTCAGGTAGGACAAACCGCTCTCCAACACTTCAGAAAAGCACTTCAGACAAAGCTACATCAAGGACCTGTGCACCTGTCACAGCTTTGTCTTAAGATAAGGAAGATTCACCCTATCAGTGACTTAAGTCTTCCCTATCAGTGCCCAGAGCACACTCTAGTGGAGTAAACCACCAGGCTTCTGTGTGCACCCAAAGGTGCAGCTGAAGGAGACAGGACAAGCCAAAGCACCACCAGAAGGCCAGAGTCCCCAGGGGAGCTGGCACATGACAACTCCTACCATAGTCTAAGGCTGCACTTTCCAAAGACTTGTGACACTCAACATGCTGTTCCCTTAAAAGAGGGAGGGACTTCTACTTTAGGAGGAAGGACCCAGCACAGCTATCACCCATTCTGCAGAAGCCCTACGTGGCTAAGCAGGAATCACGAAAGGAACAAGCCTGTGTCAGAGGCCAGGCGATGCCATCACAAGCTACGGCCCACAGTTTCTGCAGAACTTTAGGGTGCTGATGAGGCAGGGGACAGGCCCTTGCCTGGGACTGAAAATCTTTCCATTGGGAAGCCACCTGCCCCAAAGCCCACAGGCAGAGAGACTGCAGGCAGAGGTAGCTGAGCTACCCGAGGAAGCACTGAAAGAATGTGGATGGACTGTAGCAGCTGCAGGATACCAAGGGAACCCAGCACGCTGGAACTGAGGGGCCTCCCCACCAGGTGGGCCACAGAGAGCTGCTACGGGTTGTCCTCCCGACACTCCCTCCCAGGGGGGTGCTTGGTCACACCTTACATTCCTTCTCGGTTTATCTCCCGTGGGCTCAGCCATGGGGTAAAAGCTGACCACCCTGCCTGGCGTCTGGCTGTGCTCCCATGGCGCGGCTATGAGGCCTAGTGGCAAGCAGCCGCTTCACTGGAACCCATGTTCTCAGACTCAGCCCACTGCAGTCTTGCTGTGAACTGGGAGACTCATGAGACCGAGTGCTGAGGTCACTAGGGTAGATATGGGGCCACCCCAGGCCTTCTGCGTTCCTATCACCAGCCAGAGGCAAGCTCTCTGTCCACCTGGCCCTGAGAAACAGGCTGGGACTGGCTGGGCTCACCAGCACTCACAGCCCAAGGACCGCAGGAGGACTGAGCTGGCGGTCTGCCCCACAGAGGTGTGACCCTTCACAGGAGGGGCAGTGGGCTCTCAGGAGAATGGGGACCTGGGCCTTGGGCCCCAGAAGTGAACTCTGAGGAGGAGAAGACAGGGCAGAACTTCATGTTTGCTTCTGAATTCAGATAAGCCTTTCCTCATCTCAAGCATCACTTTAAATCTGGGTCTGGGCAGGTCTGAGCTCTCACCTCCAGGTTGGCAGCACTTACAGAAACAGAATCCCTACGGTGTCTTCGTCTGAGCTGTGAGCCTTTCAGTCGTAATCTACCTCCCTCCAGGAAAAAGTCAGACAGAAAGCCTCTGAGCCACGTGAGCTCTGTGGAAGCCGGCAGCCGGGCCATCCACAGGAGGGCATCCTTTCCAGAGGGACGCCAGACTTACCTGTGCTGTGGCCGTGTGGTCACTCACTGGTGCCAGCTGGACGTACTGCACCTGGATATCACTACCCTGGAGAGGGGACCCGTCCACTCCGGCTGCGGCAGGGTCTGAGGAGGCCACGGCAATCAGCTGAGCACCCTGAAGCACCTGGAGGGACAAAGTTGGATAGAGCCAGGCTCATTAGTACAGCATGAGCATCAGAGCTGCAGACGACACCTTCTTCCAGACCAGGACAAAGGTGGCCCCAGGCCCACACAGTGTCCCATGCTGGCTCATGGTCCATGTTTAAGCAGCATTTGGCCAGGTGGGCAGAGCAGCACTGAGCGTGCCCAGGTGCAGCCAAGCCCACCTGACCTGCTCATGCCCGCCTCCCGCAGACGGCCCCCTAGGCAGGACTTTAAAGTCTCGCGTAAAGAGTAAGCTAAGGCTTCCAGACAGTCAGCCAAGGGACCTGCTGAGGGTGTTCCTGGGAATGTCGGCACTGATCAGGAGCCCACGTCACGCAGGACCTGATAGGCAAGTGCAGGCAACACAGCAGAAAGAAGTGTGAGCTTAAAACTCAGATCCTCGAGATCACGTGCAGCAAAGCATATGCCAGCAAGAGCTCTGGCTGCAAAGGACAAAAGCAGAGAGGAGCCTCTGGGGAAGGTGGTTGAGACCAGAGGCCCAGGGGCAGCCAGCAACAGCACAGACCCCTCTGCCCCCATCGGTTGCTTCCCTCTGCCCTCCTGACCCTGCACAACCAAAGCGCATACCTGGGATGTGCCCAGGAGGCAACAGGGTGATCCCATCTCATCAGCACCCCGCACTGGGGTCCACTTTCTGAGGGGACCACCTGGTGCTCAGGCAGCTGAGCAGATAGCCCCAGTCAGGATGGCCCAGAGCAGGCAGGATGGGCTTCTGTCTCCAATGGCACTGGACATTCACAAGCCCAAGTTGCCAGGAGCCATGGAGTCTTTACATAGGTCCCACCCTGAGAGAGCCGAGATTCACCCTCAACTCCTACACACAATCTCAGCTTGCGCACCTGTGCAGGAGACCCCTCACACAGAGCCTGTCCCCAGGAGGCAGCAGACTAACACAGCCCAAGAACCCAGGAGCAGCTGCACCTTCAGGCACACCCCAGTGTGCTCCTGAACCATGCTGCTGGAGGGCAGACCCACACCAGCACACGCTTGCTCCTCAGTCCAGGCCAGGGCTGGCAGAGCAGGGCCACACACCAGGCCCACCACTTGATTCTGCACCACAGTGGTCTGGCTTCACATGGTTCTGAAAAGCCTTTGTAAATGGAGTGATGGGAAAAGAATCAGAAGAATGCCCTGTGACATGTCTGCCATAGTTTGTTGTGGCTTGTCTCCTCCAAAACACCCCTGCAACCTGCTGCCCTTTCAAGAAGTGGCCCACCATTCTGCTTCTGGCCCAGTGCTATTCATAGAGGGAGGCCCAGGAGACAAACCAGCCTCATGCCCAGCCCCCATGGCCACTGCTCCAAACCCAGCCCCTCACTGCTATCTGAGGCTCCAGCAAATGAGGGGGTGTGGGCTTCTCCTCAGCCTCATGTCCTGCCAGCCATTCACTGGCCACAGCCATTACTGAAAAGCAAAGGCTTGGGGACAAGTGGCACAGGGCTGCAGGACCAGAGGGACAGTCTGGCAACACTCTGCCTCCCTCCCTCTCCATGAGCTGTGTGTCCAGCTCTAACTACACAGGAAAATGGCTCACCTACACGACTAGAACTCAAGCAAAAGCACTCAACAAAAATGTGCCTGGTACCTTCACCCAGAATGCACCTGCTGCCACAGTGTGCCCAACAGCAGCCTGGCACTGCCCGCCATCTGTCCCCCAAAGGAGCAGTAGGCAGAGCCACGGTGCACACTCGGTGGGTAACAAACAGGCAAGCGCCTTAGATAGGGCTCGGCCCCTCCTGGGAGGAAAGACAGCAAACACAACGACCCAGTGTTTTCACAGAATCCATCAACAAAAACATCTAGATCCCTTCTTCCGGTTTGTATTACTGGGTAGAGTTTTATTATTTCTGCCTCAGAGCTATGTTTTTCCAGGCAATGTGGTTCTGCTTTACCTAAGCAGCTCAGTTTAAAATAAAACTGAGAATTTCAGGAAAAAGCAGACAGAGCTCTTATTTTGGGGGTGGGGCTTTGGTGTCAGGGAGACTAGCCCTAGTTGCTGGGACTCTTCTGTTCCTGTTGGTGTGGTGGCGCCCCTCTACAGGGTGCCTGGGCCCAGAGCCACAGAGGCTGCTCCATCTGCAGACACACAGCTGAGGATTGAGGGACGAGACAGTGCCGGAATGGCTGCCCATTGTAACCATAACCTCAGAGGTTAGGGACATTCCCTAGATATTTATTTCCCATTAGCAGATGGATTGGACAGTTCTGCTTCACAATTTCATCTTGAATTCTTAAAGTTCTCTGTCTTGGCTAAGATCCCTTTACACGGGGAGTGTTCCTAAGTTCTCTTCTCCCTGTCCCAGGCCGACGCCGCCTGGCTCTCAGCAGTGTCTTAGCCGCCATGGCAGTGCTGCCGGGGAAGCCCTGCTGGGGAAGCCCTGCCAGCTGCTCCTGGCCGCATCCTCCAGGTCCCCGCTCACACTGGACCTTCTTCAGCAGTGGGGCAGCAGGCCCACATCCCCTCCCAGCCCGTGTGCTCCAAGCTGAGTGGTTGGCCCAGGACGGATGGACCCAAGTCCATCAGGGAGGCAGATGCACAGGCCCTGCCCAAGAGGGGGTGCTACACAAAAGGCAGGGCAAGGGGGCTCCACCAGGGACACTATTGTTTGGTGTCCTGTTGAGACCCCAGGATCACTTTTGGGGCATCTGGACCTGCATAGGGTGCTCTCAAGAACAGCAGCAGGTGGGTAGGGGAGGGGACACTAGAGGGAGAGAAAGTGAGTCTTAAGGGCCTGACAGAGGGCGCTAGGAGCCAGAGATCATACTGGAAAGATAGCTAGAGGTCAGCGGGTCTGGGCTGCAGAGAGTCCAGAGCTCCAGTAGAGAAGCCATGGGGCCTGGGCAAGGCAAGGGCAGCTGAAATCTCGCAGAGTCAGTGACCGTGCTGCCCATGACTGACTCTTCAACCGGCCCGACTGTTTGTCCTGTTCCATCTCCTCGTCCCCAGCAAATGCCCCTCGTGGTTCAGAATCAGCAAGTTGGGCGCTGCCCCGCACAGTCCTTGCAGGCCTGCTTCCCGACTGTCAAGCAACCGACAACCTTCAGGACCGCAGCCCTGAGAGCAGGGCAGTCGGCCATCCAGCTGCAGAGGCAGCCGCAGGGGCAGCAGGGACAGTGTGCTCAGCCTGCAGGAAGGGCTGGGTGTCAATGGGCACAACCAGCCATCTGGCCTCCTGGGTCTCACTGTCTGGCTGCCCTGCAGACACACCTAGTATTAGGAGGGGGCCCAGGGCAAAAGGGTTCAGAAAGGTCTGCTTACTAATTATTTGTCAGCTATGCCCTCACACATGCTTCTGCACACCTGCTGACCCAGACCCTCCACCCCGTGGCTCTGCCACACTTCCATAACCCACCTCCAGCATCTCTGACCCCAGGCCTGCGCTCAGCCCCCAGACCGCTCTGGTAACTCCCCTAATGTGCTGCTGTGAGGCTGAGCTCTGCAGAGTGCATTGTTATTTACCTTGTCTCAGGCTCCGGGGACCAGGACCCTGTGACCCGGCACTTACTCATGCATGGCAAATGGAAAATCCTTGGAAGACACTGGCCAGATAAGAAAAACTTGCAAACCTGGGTCACCTTGTTTCTAATGGCAGTATCAAGTGTGGCCTATCCCCAGTGGCCAAGGCTGGGAAAGATTAACCTAGGCCCACTGAGTCATGGGTGATGTAGGGACGGGATTCTGGTCAGAGCTTGTGCCAGGGAAGCTCATGGCTCACAACTAGAAAGACCAGAATGGGACAGGCAGAGGCTAAGGAATGGGTGGTGACTTTTCAGAACCACACAGACAGAGCCTCTGGGTGGGTGGAGGAGGCAGAAGGAAGGGAGTGTGCCAAGACGCTCTAGCCAGCACCTTGCGGCCACCAACTCCGCCTGGCTGGTTAAGTCCAGCACAAACTTAGAAAAGTTCATACAACTTAAAATTCCAATCTAAAATATTAGGTATTAGAGCATAGTAAAGATTGTGCAATTATTTCACATTTTAAAATAGCCTTCAGTAAACATGTTTGAGATCAAATTGTAACTACTTTTAATGAATGACTGGAATCAGGCAGTTTGTCTCTGGTCCTGACCAAGTCACTCAGAGATGGTCCTCAGGACATCCCACAGCAAGCCCCATGAACATGGCCCAAAAGTGACTTCCACATGGTCCACACAGCCAGTTAAAGCTGAAGAACTGTAAGGTCTGAAAACTCAAGACTCTAAATTTGCAGACTAGAGTGACTGGAGTGACTGGTAAATGAAAGGGAAATGTTCTCAACCGGGAATGGATCCCAGAAGTCACCACCTTCAGCAGCATCTCCACTGCTTGGTTTTGGTGAGTGCCACAGTAAAGGACGACACCCTCCATATGCATAGGACTGATGGCTCCCCTCTGCTGCACCACCAAGCCATGCAGGGAGAGGCCTGGGGAAGACTTGTGGATATTAAGAATGACCCCAAGTGGGAAGGAGAGGCCTAGTGACCATCTGCTGCGGTCACACACACGGTGGGCTGTGTCAGGAGTCCGAGTCCAGCAACCTGCCTGCTATTTGAGGGTACAACCAGAGACGGAGCTGCAGTCGCAGCCTCTCCCCAGCTCTCATGCTCAATTTGTGAATTCCCATGTGTCCTGGAGCTGGCGAGAACTGGGGCATGCTGGGAGTGCCAGTCCATGCCTAACACACTCCCACCCCAGTGCCTGCAGCTTGCTGGAGCAGGGTGGGCCCAACCTAAGGAAGTGTCCTTCCCAGAAGAGGAAAACGTGGACAGAAACAACAAAGCCCACAGCACCACCGAGACTGGGCTGTGGCGGCCACAAGCCAGGGAACACCAAGGACGGCTGGCGGAGGCGGGAAGGACCCTCACCCAGAGCCTTCAGGGGAGCGGGGCCTGCACTGCCAGTGTTCTTCTGCCCCCAGAATCATGGGAGGGTGCATTTCTTTTACGTTTGGCTCCCAGCAGAAACCAGTGGTTTTGGGG